GTATATATATATATATATGTATATATATATGTATATATATATATGTATATATATATATATATGTATATATATATGTATATATATATATATATATATATATATATATATATATATGTATGTATATATATATGTATGTATATATATATATGTATGTATATATATATGTATGTATATATATATGTATGTATATATATATATATATGTATATATATATATATATGTATATATATATATGTATATATATATATACATATATATATATATGTATATGTATGTATATATATATTTATGTATGTATATATATGTATATATGTATATGTACATATGTACATATATATATATATTATACATATATATATATACATATATATAAATATATACATATATATATATACATTTATACATATATATATATACATATATATATATATACAAATATATACATATATATATATATAAGAGAGAGAGAGAGAGAGAGAGAGAGATTTCATGCATGTGTTAACCTTGAATTCTCTTTGCCAGGACCCGGCTTCTCCAGGTAAAGCCAAACCAACAAAAGCAGCATCCCCAATTATCTCTTTCTCATCTATGAACCTGAAAGAAAAGTACTAAGTCTCGATTTTTCAACAGTACAAGTTTTTGGTTTTGAATACAATTGGGTAACTAATTTTCGTTAATGAGGACATAATTTCACTCGTATAACATTATATACAAATGACAGGATCTGGACATTTAATGGACAAAATTATGTTATCCTTTCTCATAAGCATCAAGTATGAAAAGGATTGAAGGACATAAAATAAACAAACATAAATGCAATCATATTTGCCATATTCAGTTAAGCAATTCATATGTCAATACGTGGTAAATTAGAGGAGAAATCATACTTATCTCGAACCAGTAATCTCCCAGTAACAGAACCTCTTTGATTAGATTTTTGGAAATCCTCTGAAACTGGAAATTCATATGGCCAACTCCCCACTTGTGTTAGTGCCTAGCTTGATGAAGAAAAAATGTGTAAACACAAGGAAATAAAGATAAACCTGCCATTATCATATAGCACCTTGTCCTTCTGCTTGAGATCAACTTCTATATTCTTGTTATTGTTAACTCTAGTCACTTCTATGTTTCAAAGGAGGTTTCGATATCAATATACAAGTACCGTATGCTAGCGCGTTCAACTGAAGCTGAGCAGTTTGACTAGCTAAAATAAATTGGCTTGTTTGCATACAACAAAAAGTGTACTTATTGTGACAACAAATACTTGCACCTGAAGTTTTGCATCGTCCCAAAGAAGTTGTCGATTTGTACCATCCATAGTAGAATTGAGGTAGATGAACACAGGACCAAAGACTTTCTTCCAGTATTCACCATTCCTGAATTTAGGCACAAGATCCTGCCCACTGTAGTGAGCACTCAAAAACTTCTGAAATAAAGCAATGTGAAAGAAAATTAGTCATGCAACGAATATACCAGCCACCATTTAATGCCATGTTGATATAGAAGTGCTAGACAAGGGTCATTAGAAGGTCAGTGCACTTTGCTTAGCATCAGTTGTATTTGCCATTAACTACTCCATAACTAGTTAAAAGCATCACAAAAGTTACGTCTTAACAACAGAAAAATGTTTTTTCCCAGAAACAGGAAAGGAAGAATTATTGTCACCAATAAATATGACAATGACCATTTGATTTTACGCAAAAATGAATAAATGATTTTTGTTGGAAGTAAAATAGAAATATTAGAATAAAGACACAAATAAGTGTCACTTAGAATAAAGAAATATATTTTAAAAACTTGGGACGAAATTATATGGTTGAGATAAAAGTCGAAAAAGAAAGGATAGTTGCCTCCGAAGTTGTAAATATCTGAGACAATCCTATAATTTTTGCATCGCCGTCTCCCCTTGGTAGACAAACTTGCTCGAAGGGGTGTTGGAGGTCATTTCCTTTGCCCATCCTGTGGATTAGAACCTGAAACCATTGATCATTTGTTCTTCTCTTATCGGTTCTCAGTTTATTTGTGGCAGTTCTAGAGAGTAAACTACAGAATACTTTTTTGCATGGGAATACTTGGAAACCTGGTGAGTGGATCCTTGAAGGAATGCATGCGGGCGGTAATTTGGGATTGTTGCACGCATCGGTGGCTGTCACTGGACTTTGGTGGCTGTGGAGGATCAGAAATGAAGCTTTGCATTCTGCAGCCTTCAAACCAATCTCCACTGTTTTCCATTTGATTGTGGGCACGATTTGGGCTTATGACATGGCCAAGATTCCTGATGAGTTTAGGCTAGAGATTATCTCCCGTCATACTCATTGGACTCCCCCTCCCGAGGGGTGTATGAAGATAAACTATGATGGTTTCATTGGAGAGAACCGTATGGAGGGTTGGGTTTTGTTATCCAGGATTATAATGCTGATCCTATTTTCTCTCACGTGTTTAGAGAATAGAATAAAGTAGTCAATTGGTTGGCTAAATATGCTAGGAAATATAAGTCCAGAGGGAAGTGGTTCTCCACAAAATAGGTTTTTTTTCATTTTGATGCTAGGGGAGATTTTTGTCACCCGAAGACTTTATTAATGAAATTTCACCAAAGAAAAAAAATTGATAGGAATATCATTTATTTTTACATGTTTTTTTCTCAAAATTTTTGATACAAGATTGACTCTAAAATGATTTTTATACATGATTACGATATTTTTTTGTTTTGACAATTAAGTTTTTTTTTTCTGTAGACCATGTCTCCAGTATTTTTTTTTTTCTATAGACCATGTCTCCCATATTCTTCAAAGTTAAAATGAAGTTAAGCTAGAGATAGAAGAAATGATACTTACTGCAAGGGTTGTAGGACCAACATGAGATGTTAGATCTTGTTTGACAGGCCCTCCGGACCGGAACTCATCGCTAGGTGTAATTTGCCAAAAACCAATCGGAGGATCAAAAGATATCCATCCATGGACCTTGGTGTCCTTATCTTCACAGGAATATTGATACTTGTCATCCACCTTAAGCAAGCATTTTGTGGAATCAGATGATAAATTAACTATGTTGTCTAACTTGAAACATTTTTTACTAGAGCTGTAAGAACTTGCTTACCTCTCCTTTTAGGTCTGGATTAACTGGGTTAATTAGTAGAACAGCCTCAGGATATGCCAATTTCTGTGACCTATTAGGCATGCGATCATCAGGCATTGGCATGAATCTTTGCCTGTTATCTGCTATTGCCATGTAGTGAAACCTGCACTCCTCATAAATATCTAGTCATAAATAAATATATGGAAAAAGATAAAGCTTAAACATGTATGGCTACACATCTGTACAATTAGGTCACTATAGAATTCTAATTTTTCCTCAAACAAAGAACATAACCAAGAGAGCATAAGATAGGATGAATGAGCTAGTCATCCTTGTAATATAGGCATGCTTCATAATGTCATAGCAAAAAGACAGAAACTAGGGTAAGATCATTTACTTGTCCTTCCTAAGCTTGAAAGCAACTCTGGTTTCTGCCAAATCGAAGTCTGGCCATCCTTCCCGGTGCTCATAGATGGCGTAAGTGTAGAAGCCCGAGCAGCCACGGAGCATTATAAACCTACATATAGTAAAATATCAGATACCCGTCAACTGATCAACAGAGAAGTAATTTTAGGAATCTCCACAAACCTTTTATCTATGTTCAAAGGGACAAGCTTGCCTTGGAGGGATGGATCCCAGTTTCTTGTGAAAGAAACTTCTACCTGGTTTTCATCTTCATGAATTATTTCAAAATGTGTACCCTGGATCCTGTTTACCAATTAGCAATATGACCTACATTAAGCTTCATGCTCACCAAGAACTGGAAGTGAAAAGAAAGAGATGAAGAAATTCACTCACACATCGAATATACCAGAACCCTGAGGTTCACTCCATACCACATCCCAGTACCTGCCATTGGAGATGGAATTTAAGTGTTTATTTGTATTCAACGTGGTTTGGAGGTGGTATGAATTCCACCATCTATGACATGAACAGAGAACTTTACGGCAACCTTTGCTGGTAGAGAAACTAGATAAAATTATATGTGAATCATGTGAAAAATCCCATTGCGTCGCATGAACCAAATATAAGAGCAAGTCAAACATCATTAACTTTCGAAATTGAATCGTCAAGAATGATCCTCAAAGTGTACGTAAGAAATCGGTAATCGGGAAAAATTTTAGAAACAAAACATTTTTTTTCTTTTTTGATGCAACCATCTGAATTTTTTTCAAAAGGAACAAACCACTATATCTCGTTGAAAACATAAAGAGCATTATCGAACACGTTTGTAGAATATGATTCTTAATTCCTCACGAGAAATAACTCCCAGCAAGTGTTAACAAAAAATTACTGAACAAGCAGAGCTATGCCATAAAGAGCAGGAATAATCTATTTAAAAGAAAATTCACGACTTGGAGGAGCGACGACAGAACATTACCCTCTATTCCCTTCTTCGTTAAGAACTTCCAATAAATTATCTACACCATTGTATCTAACTCCAGTGATGAGCCCCTCGGGATTCGACAAAGTCAATTGGAGAATACCATTATCTATCTCAACCTGCACATTTATTTCTTCGACGCAATCAGATACATATGTCTAAAAATATCAAATGAGAGGATGATAATTGAGCTAATGTCTTCACATGATCATCTCGGACTTGTATGCTCACACCAACAGGGGCCATCCTGCAAGCCTCTCCCGAACAGGATCAACAACTCGTGAAGACTGTGCTGCAAACACATCGCAGCGATACGCTGTGTCAATCCTGCCTCCCAACAAAACGCAGGAAACGATGAGCAAATATCAGTGAGAGACTCACCTCAGATTGCGTAGAGCTCGCATTGCGGTGGAGGCGGCGCATGGCTTTATAGTGGACCTATCGGGATCCTTGCCTGCGTCTTATCCGATTCCATGCAAACAAAGCATCGCTGGCTTGGAAGCCAAGCTCCACCATTGCTCGCTGGAGATGGGGAAGGGAATTGGGATCGGGAGATGCGTCGCTGTTGAGCGCTTTAAAACTGGAGGTTGGGCATGCAAGTAGCGCGTGGGCTCCGTCAAAATCCCCACCGCACCGCCCCAGAGTGGGAAAAGGAAAGTATCTTACGGTTTACGACGTTCGATTTCCTGCACGTCCAAGGTGTATCGTGTGGATCTCGTAGTTGATCATGTTGGATTTGCTCACGTCATGTGTGTGTTTGTTTTCTCGGACGACCTACTTGTGCCGGTAGATTCTCGATGCATCTGTATCACAGTCCGATGCCGATGGAAATGGCTT